GTAAATTTACTCCATTACTGTCTGGCTCTGATTGTTTTATATATATAATTATTTATCAAGTTATGATTTGAACTTAAGCAAATCACAAACAAAGCCCCCTCAGGAAAAAAAAAAAACTGTTCTATGATACTCCTGTACATACTGTATACACATGCACTCGCATTAGCTGCACACCGAAGGTGTGTGCAAACATATGCAGTAGTCAGTCATTCACATTTCCACATTTGTACACACACGAACTCACACACACGTGTACTGTAGTTACTTCAGTTACTCTGTCTGTGTGGACCTCAGACAGGACTGTCTCTCCTATCCTCTGGTTTGCAGGTGTGCATCTTCATTTGGCCAGTTTCTCAGACTTGGTTTATTTGAAGTGTCTGCCTTCACAGCCCTGTAACTCCTGCTGATGAGTTCTTGAGGAGACCATATAAAGGCAGCACACCCATCAAATAATGGGAGTGTATCTCAGAAGGGAGTGATAGTCTATGACCCTCTCAGTTTGAGTCATGACACATGGGTGGATGATAGTTAATGAGTGTCATTAGAATATCATGCTGACTGCATCATATTGTTGCACTGTGTATTGCGTAATTGTTCCTCCATAGGCTTGACCTTACACAAGACCGTTCATTTCCCCCCTGTGTTATTTTCTTGTTGTCTTTCTCTCGCTATCATTTACACACACACTCTCTCACATAGTGGTCCCTTTGCTCATCAACTATTGATCTGACTGTCTCTGTTATTTAAGATTCCCTGAATGCTCATTAATTAAGCCTGTTGAGGAGATCTAGAGAATAATTCCCACCCTCAATATCAATTACTATCAAAATAACCTTTTGAACAGACACACTGTAGCCTAGTTGTCTGCTAATAAAAATCTACCGCACATTTTTTTTTATTAGCAGCTGTACAGATATATCATGTGTTTCATTATAAGTTAAAAAAAAACCCTTGGGAACACTTTATAATAAGTATACAGTAATAAAGTATTTACAAATACAGTAATAGACTAAAACGGTGACAAACGGTGAGTTATTTATTCAATGTCACTGTGATAAACAAATTATTATTGTTTATTTAGCTCATATAAAAAGAGTTAGATAATGCTTTAACAACGTATTAACCATAAATAGTTCTCACTTTAGATTAGGTCACAGAATATCGGTTGGTGCCGATAAGTTTTATTGGACATTAATTGCATTCATGCAGTAATTTGTGTTTTCAACCCCTTCCTTTATCTTAAAGTTGGCATGAAATGGAAATCTATTTTCCAAATGCATTTAATTGATCTTATTGTAATATAATGTAATTTTTAAAAAATTCTTTTGACCTAATAAATTGGAATCAAACTAGAAACTAGACTTCTCTCGTAATGAATGCTGGACTTCTCCAATCATTTAGTTTGCTTAAATCCTGCAACTTTCTTACAACACTACATGCTTAAATTAAGCCAATCTGCCTCCTTCCAATATAAAATTGAGAGATAGAACCAAGTCCCCAGCCTATATATTTTTTTCTTTTACAAAATATTGTTTCCCTTGAATGTACAGTACGTCACAATATCCCAGCTTACTAAAGTATGTTTTGCTAACGTTTCCATTAAGTTATGAAAATAGTATTTCTGAATGATTGTTGAAAGTACAAATTTTCAAATGTTTTTTCTTGGTTATGCAATTGTTAATGGAACATTCCATTTTGCAAACATTATGGGCTTGTTACTTTTGAATGAAATACATTTAAAAATATTAGATGATTGACTGTCCAGCCAAAATTTTTCAGAAAGAATAAACGTTCCATGAATGTTGTACAGATAACGTTTCTGTGCTAAATTTTTGAGACTGTTAACGTAACTGGAAGAAGTGCTTGTCCATTCATTCGAGTGAACCTTGCTAGAACATTAGTACTGACAACGTCCCCAGTTAACTGGGATGGAAGAATCTCGTATCTCTTATCTCATGTTGGGCATGTAAATGTAATATTTCAGGATTTAAATGTGTAAATTAAATGTGTTAAAAGAGATTTAATAAGAGATTCACTAGAGTCTGAGCTCAGGGAATCAGTTGTATTTGTTGTCAATCACCTGTTTTCCTGTAGAGCTGAACCTGGTCTTAAATGTTTCTCCAGGGCTGAACTCTTTGACACAGCACACAGTTAAAGGCAGCAATCAGCTCTCTGGAGTGATGAGTGCCACAGCTTTATCGGGCAGCTGTGTAGATGTCTATCCCTCATCTTTATGGGGACATTTATGATGGAGGGATTTCTGAGGCACTGATCACTCTCCTCTGTATCTCGGTCTATAACCTACAGTTACATGTTTTTTTTTTTTTGTGTGTGTGTGTGTGCTTTGTTGTTGTTTGTTTATTAAAATAATATGTATGGTTAGTTTATCCTGGAAAATACATTTATATCTAAATCAAATATTCCAAATTATGTGTACTATAGCTGCTTTCAGTATGTTTGTTTTTGTTGCATAGTCATGTTAGTTGTATTTGTACCATTATTTTTGTTTGGCAGGAATTGTTTCTGGGGGGTTTTGATGTATTAGAATATTCATTAAATATTCATTAACGAGACACTGACTGGCCAGTAAAGTATGCGGGGAGGGAACAGAATAGAATGAGCTCATTGACTTGACAGTAAGGATGTTAATGGAAGCCATTTTCGCTTTAATCTAATAGGTTGCTTTATAATATCGAACATGCAATTGTCTCACAACTGCGACCGAGCTCTGTAGGATTTATCGTGGTAATATTTCCACTATACCTTTCATTTCAGACATTGATCACCCTCAATAACAGCAAACTTTTTTTCCACATGTACCTGGTCCGGTGCCAGAGTGATTAAGTTGTTTCTAAGCCGATTAACGAAAGAAGGTCTGAATCAAGAAAATACCTCTGAAAATGAAGGAAATGACTTTACACAGCAGATGTGTTGCTACATTGCCTATTATGTTGCCTATTAAATAGCCTATTTCAATGGCCCATTATTTTCCTCAATAAAAACACTCACTGGAGCTCGCATACTCCCCTGCACTTCTGAAAGCATATTGAAGGAACGATGAAATCCCCTGTATAAAGTAAAACATTTGATGTCTTAAACACGAACCAGACGGGTTCAGGCTACTTGACGGGGCTTCATGGCAGGTGTGGAGTGGGCCAATTCTGTTTTATAACTGCCACTCTCCTCAGAAAGTCTGCCAGGGAACAAGCCCCCTGCCAGTCGCTTGCCTCTCGCATGCCCTCGGATTACTGAAAGGTCGCGCCCATTATGGAGTTATTGAAAGGCAAAATCATGGCAGAAACCATTAAGGGATCTCCTTTTACATGACTTCATATACTCTATTCTATTCTAGAATATAAATTCCATTCTATTCCTTTCATATTTAAAACATTCTACATGGATTACTGAATGTTAGGAACTGATACTGTATGTGGTCTCAAACCTGGTTGGCTGTCTGAATTTTAAATGATGACATTTTGAAAAAGCCATTGCAACCAATACATTTCACGTCAATCAATTACAGATAGAGCCTCGTTCATCTGGCCTCCAGTAATATGACTGTTTACCCCTTCGCATGCAGCTCTGTGAAATGCAAGCCTCTAGTATTGTCTTTTTCGGGCTTCTGACATATTGTCGTAATGTGACAGAAAGCCAGGATGAAATGTGGCATTTTGGAAAGGTCAGTTCATGGCCGTCTCAGAATTCGTCTCCCATCATGATGATGACAGTTGTCATATGGATGTTGGCATGTGCAGTCATCCTATAACTTGGGGAGAAAAAATGCTATATCCATATCTTACTGTGGTCAGTTTTTTTTTATTTTTATTAAATGAATACTTTCATTTAGAAAGAATGCATTCAATTGATCAAGTGTGACGGTAAAAAGAAAAAATATTTTTATTTCAAATAAATGCTGTTCGTTCTCACAATCCTGAAAAAAGTATCATGGTTTCCACAAAAATATTAAGCAGCACAACTGTTTTCAAAAATTAGTTTTCACCATCAGCATATTAGAATGATTTATTGAAGGGTCATGTGACAGAACAGTGGATTAATGGTTGCTAAACATTCTGCAGAAGTATTATCACAGTTAGTTGTAATACAATTTTACAATATTACTGTGTTTTTGATCAGATAAATGTAGCTTTGATGAGCATAAGAGACTTCTTTCAAAAACATTAAAATATTACCAACCTCAAAGTTTCAAATAAATTAGTTAAGGTAAAAAATGTGCAGAATTGTATTTCCCAAAAATAACTGTTATAACTGTGCTCTATTAACAGTCTTTAGCAATATAGGCTTTTATGATGCAACATAAAATCATACAATTACAGTAATTAATACAGTGATTTCTTTTGTTTTAGATTACGCAGTTTATAAGTGTTTAGATTTTTGTTCTGTGTATATTAATTAAGGCAGTGTATCCATGTTAAGGTTTAACGTTATAATTTTGGAATTTCTCTCAAATGCCCCCCATGAGAGTCTCTCCAGCAGGAGGGGAAAAGACACGCTCATCCCAGAATCAAATCAAATTCCTTTTATCATCTTGTTATTTGCAGACGTTATCTGTGCAGGTAATGTGGTTATAAATTCAATTTGGGCCTTGGGATTTCATTGTTTACTGATGTTGGTTGCCTTTAGGCAGAGATGCAAGCAGTTAGTACTCGTCTGTGAATTTATTTGAGCTGTGCCGTAGATGAAATTTTAAAAGAGATGCGCCTCGCTGGGGGGCTTACTGACACTTTCTCAAGGGCATGGCTCCAAGCAGCGCTTACATGCAGATCCATGTTTTATTCAGATCTGTTTGCTTTCATTTGGCCACTTGTAAGCGTGTGATGGCTATGAGACAGGTACTGCGGCTTGATGTCTCTGCTGTCAGTTGACTGTATTGATGAGCTTTAGATTACACATCTGCCTGGACTAGATGATTTTTATTATTGAAAAGAATTATTTGTATTGCTCATTGTAGGTTAATATTGATAAAGCATCTGTCTCTCCAGGTAAAGTGAAGGGCCTGTATGACACTCAGACGCCCATGTGTCCGATCTGTCACGCTGTACTGCGGCCAGGAGAGCTGCAGGAACACATGGAGCAGGAAATGGAGCATCTGATGCAGCTGCACAATAGGTACACACACTCCACACCTCAAACAGTGTCTTAAATTGTCTTTTTATTTCCTGATTCACAAACATTATTTTTACCCATTTATTTTGAAGTGCTTCTTGAATGTATTGTTGCCATGATACAACACTTATTTATTCGTTTATTTATTGATTCAAACCATATAGAAATAGATCTGATTGTATTTAAAACAAGATTTTTAAATAGAGCAAGACAATTAAATATAGCATCACAGTGCTTTCCAAATTTGTGTCCAAAATCCAATCCATATAAAAATGATATTTATATATTTATATAAACTATATAGAAACAAATCCATCCATCCATCCATCCATCCATTCACTGGGATAGTGGAGCCTAATTTAGAAAAAAAATATTAAGGTATACTCCACCCAAAAATGAAAATTCTGTCATCATTTACTCACCCTCAAGTTGTGTCTTTCTTCTGCTGAACACAAAGGAAGATATTTTAAAGAACGATTGGAACATTGGCATCATTAACTTCCATACTATGGAAGTCAATGGTGCCAAACAACTGTTCAAAATATCTTCCTTTCTGGATTTCTCTCTTTCCCCACCTGCTCTTCTCATGGAAATGGGAAAAATGAAATCTGTCATGTTCCTCTAATGAACATGATTCAATCCATATAATGACTGAGACAATCAATAACCTATCAACCTCCCTCTGCTTCGCTCATGTCTTCTTTTGTTTTTCAAAAGAAGAAAGCTCAATCAGAGATCATCAGCCGATCAGTCGAGGGTTGATTTGATTTTTTTGAACTGCCTCAGTCTCTTTGTATCGGCCGGGACATGTAGACAGTAAAGTGCCGCTGACAGTCAGCATGCTCTTCTGTCACTCTAACTCAAATCTCATCCAGGCTCATGAAAATGCATCGCCGCCCATAGTGAAGAAATCAAAACTGGAGACAAGAGCCGGAAAGATGGAGGAAGGGCAGATTTAAAGCAGATTGAGACAATGAACACACACACACACACACACACACACACACACACACACACACACACAAACCCTGTAGCCTGTCCCTTCCAAAGGCACATTAAATGCTTCCAGGTCTTGATGGCATATTTATCTACAGCCTCTGGGCATGTGCACCATGCCTCCACCCCTCTCCCTGTCTCCTCCATCATTGCAACATCACAAATTACAAGCTGTTACATTGTTCCTGACATTTCACAGCTAGTCAAGCTCAAGGCAGTCCACGCGAAAATCATAGCAAGCTAATAATGCGTTTCTTCAACGTTTGCTATCAGCATCAGACGAGGCAGGGCGGCACATTAGCCACTCTGAACACATGAAAGATTTCTCCAATAAAGAAATTATAGCCATAATCTGCTTAGTGACAGAGCTGTGGACAGTAATTGTGTCAAATTGAACTTGGCCCCAGGGTGTGTTAGAGCTATCCTGCAGTACAGAACCAGAATGGAGACAGCTTTATAAATATATTATTTGACTGCGAAGGAAATGTTGAATGCAACTTGATGCCTCATTTCTGAGCATGTTTGCATATTCTGATTCACACTTTGTGTTTAAAACAATGCTGAATTTTGTTGGTAATTGGATTGTGGTGATGAAATATGTGTTAATAACACTCTCTCCTGTTTACAGTCAGGGTCCCGCGCAAAAGGAGTGTCTTGCTGCTGGGCCGCCCAAGGTACATTCTCTCCAATGTACTTCACAACACTTGTTATATACAATTTATTTATCTCTGCAGGCAATAATAACCACTCTACCTCTCCCAGTCTTTGTTTTCTATGCACATAAAGAGAGAGGGTTCCTCTTCTGCCTCCTCTCCACGTCCTGCTGATGAGGCTGTGCACTCCGACAGGTACCAGGTGAGCGCAAAATGCACGTTATATACATGTCTGGCGGCATTAGCTTGCACTTCTCTGGAGGAGTATTTTGAACTTTAATTAATTACAGGTGGAATCAAACTTATTTAAGAGTGGACTTTACCCTTTCCAAGACTACATGTCAATCAAATGTTTGAGACAGCCCTCAGTGTAGTGCTGCCATCTGCTGGACTTTAATTGAATTTAAAATAATGTTTCTGTTCGAAAAAAAAGTAGTAGTTTAATAGTAGTTTAATTCTGCTTTTTAAAGACTTTTAGAATTTTTTTTAAATATTTTATTTAATTGGGAAAAGTATTATTATGTAATAAAAGCAAACATGTATATTTAATTATTTAATGTAATTCAAATTTTAATTCTAAAATGAATATTACACTGTAAAAATATTATTGCTTTAATTTAATAAGTAAATAAGTAACCTGGTTGCCTTAAAATTTTAAGTTCATTGAAATGGAAAAATTTAGTTAATACAATGAAGGAGATTGATTTAATCATCAGAAGCTCAAAATATTATGTTATCTGAACTACATAAATTATCTAAGTTGATTTGACAAAAGAAAAAATGGTGTGATCACAAATCATGAAAATATTTTTTATAGTGTAGCAATCTAAATATACTCTAATAGTGAGTAAATCATGAGCTGTAACAAAAACATAAAAAAATAACAAATTAAATATTGTCCACATAATATATAAATGTAAAAATGTAGGTTTAGTGCAATGACAATATAAAAGCCAATTATTATTTTTCAAACAATGTTGTCCTTACACTTACTATTTTTACCATTTTTTGCACAGTAAAATTAGTCTTCATATTTTAGGCTTGCAGAGGATCATCATATTTGGGAATCCTCAGCATAAAAAACATGAAATTTGTGAAACTAAATGAGAAATTTTTCAAAAAACTCTTTAGTGTAAATTTAGGTATTGAAATTCTGGGTATTAAAATGTCCCTTTTCTTCCTCTTCTTTAATTTCAGACATTTTTGCGAGTACGAGCAAACAGGCAAACAAGACTCAATGGTACGTTTCCAATGATTGTCACTTCATCTTTAATATTTTGCATTTCAGTCATTGCCTATACATGCAGGGTCATAGACATGCATTAAGAGCTTGGATCTGACCAAATTCATATTTCTCTATAAGAATATTAAATAATTCAAGAAAATTTCCCAAAAAAGTTTTATTCCATAAATAGATGTTTATAATGAAATCATCAATCTTTGAAACTCATTCTAATGATCACAAATCGTCCCCAGCTAGCACTGGTACACTTTCAGTCTTAAAGCTAGGCAACGGTCAGGCCTTTGTTGAGCGTTGACTGGCCGCACCACCCGCACTAGTCGGAGCCCGTTGGGGGTGTTTTGGCTGATTGAACATGTTGAATTAGTGTCCGTCTAGACTGCACATACAGAGGGCTGTTCTAAATGTACCTCCTCTTACCTGAGCACTACACTGCGTGGATATTTTCATCATAAAATGATCAGTGATTGATTTTCAAAATGGTAAACAATTGCTGCTTTGTTTACAGTCTGCCGTCCTAGTTTCAGTTTCCATTTTTGAATGATGAATATGGACTATTGATGCCGGCTGATATAGACAGTTATTTCCTCACACGTAGGTGCAGAAGGCACGTGCCAGTTGGCAGTCACCTTTGCACTGTGGTCAAGCGCAGCTTTTCGACCAAGACCCAGCCGACAAAGGGCGACTTTCATCACCGCTTGTTCTTTTATGTTGGCTTGGTGTGTCACTGCCTTTAGTTCAAAAAGTTAAAGCACCCCCCGACCTTTGACCTAGCACCCTCACAAGCAGAGCAGATTTTTGACCTTTAACCTTTTGATATGTTAACAGTTAAGGAGCTCTGCTGGTGCAGGTGCTACGCCAAACAGAAAGTCAAATCTGTTCATGTTTGGACTGACTATGGATTCCCACATGTGTCTTCTTGCCCACTGTCTGGTAAGATATGCTACACACATGTCACACAACTACCATATTTAAAGAGGCTTTATCTTCTAATTAGCACTGATTTAAAATAATCTTTCAAGGAGCAAATGATTGTAGAATCATGAAATGGTGAAAATTATACGCTATTTAATGCAATATTACGCTCTTGGCACAGTAATACTCAGAGTATTAAGTCTTTGTACTGTGAAATATTGGCACTCTATCATGTTGAATTTTTGGTCATTTATCAGGACGGTTAATTTTTATGTTATTTCATTAACATCTAAAAAAGGTGCACTGGAAGATTGGTCAAAGCTAATTGATCAGATTCGCTCTCTAATTAATGATCCTCTCTTCGTTATGGTCAACTTCATGGTGATTGTAACAGGCTCAGCTCTGTTTCCACTGTCCTTTTTGACTATATCATGAGCCGAGGCTCCTAAAGATTAATGTCCCTTAACATCATTAGCAGCTCAGCAAAACAGAGATTTTAATGGAGTGGTGGATACCGTTCCACCCTCCTGAATTTTACTTCCTGTGTGTATGTTCGAGAGAAGGAGATTCAGAATAGTCTGGAAATCTTTTGCGTCTTTATTTTATAATCAGATAAACGGATCAGTCCAATTCCCTTGCCATTTATTTATCTTTTGTAGGCCACAGAGGCCTTTCTGTCTTATCAGTTTATGTCAGCTTGAGATCGTATATATTTCCATCATAAAACTGCCAGTGGAGAAAAAAAACAAATCAAAAGAATTGATTTATGCTTCATTTTTTTCAGATAAGGTAATATGAAAAGTGCTTTTTTGCTATTGTTTTGATTTTTTTGTTCATTTTCTTTTCTTTTTTTTACAGCACGCATTGGGAAACTGAAAAGACGGAAAGCAGAGGAAGACCAGGTGTGATGGAAATGCAGAAATTTGTCATTGTGCATGTGCTTATAGGTCTCATTCAAAACAATGAACCTTCCCTCCCCTTTAGTCTGCAGTTCCTCTAGATCTGCTTTCGCTGACAGTTCACAGGCTGTTTGTGATGTCTGTATTTGACTGACAGGCGGCAGAAGACATGCCGTCAGCTGTCCTGTTCTGTTATATCTGCCGTATGATATATATAAGACAGGTAGATGTGTCCAGAAGGGTCAGATAATCTATATACCTGCATGTGAAATGTCTGTTTCTTTTTATTTTCTTTAGTTTCTTTCAGCTTTGACCTAATGTGAAGAGGGCATTTAGGGCAGGTAGCAGATGAAAGCAGTGTCTTGAGGCTGGTGGAGACATTTTCACCAGACATGCTGATATGTGTGCGTTTTCAACAGAGAGATGGTGTTTGTGTTGTTGAAAATGGCTCCATGCTGTCTGCCGGGAGGGAGTTTGAATGGGCCGAACAGAGAAGAATACAGATGGTTTCTGTTCTCAGAGGCTTCAGAGGTACAAATACTGCACAGAAATTGAACTAAACACTATAAATACTCAAATATCTAAAAAAACCCCCCAAAAAAAACGTAGTCAGTAGAGTCAAGTCAGTAATGTTGATGAATATTAAACTTCACTGTACTTCACTGCTGGCAAAATAAGCTTTCAATAAAACTTGGTTGCCTATACAGTACAAAGGGGAACGTTTATTTTTAAATCACTGCTACCTAACTAGAGAAAACAAAGGAAAAAAGGCTGTTGTCTCCCCTTTTGCCAAATAGGTTGGGAAAATTCTACAACCATAATGCACTGGTCATGTTGCTGTCCAAGACCAGTCCCACCCATCTGCTATGAATGCTTGACCAGAATATGCCTTGCTTTAGTAGGAAATACTTCTAAGCAAACGTTTAGTTATAATGGTTTTGACTTGTATTGTGCTAGAATTTAACGAGTAAACATTTAGAAGGTGTGAGTTATTTTCAATTTCCAGTCGAGGAGCCTGCGTGTTATAGGCAGCGCCGCCTAAAGGCTACAAAGTATTGTAAATACGGAGAGAATGCTGCAACAGAATATCTGAAAAACCTCAGTGTTTGTAGTCTACATTTCAAGCTGGATGACCATGGACGAACACAGTAATTTAGGCCAATAAAAGCAGCTCACTTGGTTTTGCAACAGAGCTTGTGTGTATACAGTATGTGTGTGTGTGTGTGTGTGATTAGTTCACAACAGACACGTGAGATAATTGGAGTGGTGTTATCCTCTTGAGAATGAGATTACTGTAAAAGAACTTAGCCAGGGGTCAAAATAGAGACAGAGGCGATCACAAAGAAATCGGAGGTCATGCAGACCCTCCCGTCCTTATAAACACTTAATTTTATTAACACATTGCAGTTCATCAGTAGTGCACATTTGTATCTCAAACTATTTTTAAAGTACACACACTTGTTCTGTAATAAGGATTTGTGTTTTCTGTCATTGAATGAACGCTTACAGTATTTTAAATGCCTTAAGGTTTGGTGAGCAGCACATTGAAAGAGCACCAGGACAGCGATGTGGATCTGGATGTGGACGGTGATGATACTTTGGAGTATGGAAAAGCCCAGTATCCTTATTTATGCTGTAAGATTGGCACAACAAGGAAGTGCATTGATTATTTTTTTTTTTTGTTGATTTTTTTGTGAAAGCATTTTTGATAATAAAAAATGTTTCCTCAGCAAATGATCGCAGATACACAGAGGCGGATGTGATTCCCTGTTCAGGAAATGAACCCAGAGATGCAGAGGAGAGACATGCGTTAAGAGGAGCTGTTTTAAAGTATACACAAACACAAACAGCACATTTTATTAGTGCTTCCAACTACTTTATCAATACTTAGTTTCTTGTTTGTTTGTTTTTTGCTTTGAAAGTGGAGAGACAGCCAGCAGGTTATCTCCAGAACAAACCAAGTCTGCAAACTCAGGTGAGCCAAGAGTACAGTAGTTGATGTCACCCTAATTCAGATCTTTATTGTTTTTGTGCCAGGTGTAAATGCAGCTTAACTACTAAGTGAACTACTACATTTTGGCGGCAGGTGTATTAGCCTGCGGTCACTTTAAGACCTGATTTATGGACCCTTTATACTGTTACACATGCATTTTCTTTCTCAACTGTTCACGCTCACTTAAAACATCACTGACTGTGTTCACATAAATACTCGCCAACACCGGCATTTTGTCATTATTTTGTGTGTATTTGACTGTTTAAGTACAATAAGCAGCAAAAAATAACTAAATTTAGTACCGAGATGGCTTTATGTATGCACACTTTGAGTGTGAGCACAAAATCTGCAGGAATGAGTACAAAGTACAATAATACGTTCAATCCCATGCTGAAATTCAAGACCAACACCAACCATATGTGTATATGATATGTAAAATTCAAGCTAATAGGAATTACTGTGTTACACGCCAATGCAGGTGTTACTGTCAAGCCCTGTTATATACCATGTATATATATATATATATATATATATATATATATTTATACCATATATATATATATATATATATATATATATAATAGTGCCAATAAAAAGAAGCTTTTTAATATTGCATAAATGAAATAAACAATGGTGCTCCTTGTCTGCAGAAGATCCAAGTACAAGTAATGGAGACAGCAATACAAGCACAACATCTCCAAGAACCTGCAAGAACAGCGAGTTAGAAGTGTAAGTGTACCTTAAAATCTGCATGAAATGAAAATTCACTGTATCTATTTTTTAAATGCATATTATACATCCTATTGTGAACTATTCATCCATCCATGTTTCATTTTTGTATATTTTCTTTTTACCTTGTAATGTAAATATAACCGCACCTTCCAGTTTAAACTAACGACTTTTCTCTAATGATGTATGCCGGACTTCTCCAGTCATTTTTGTCTACTTAAATCCCTCTAGCAAGCTCACTTTAATCTGCCTCCGCGTTTGAGTTCAATAGGCGCATGTCAAAACCCAAACAACAACCACGCATAGAGCCAAGTCCCCACCCTAAATTTTTTATTTTTCAGCAATCCGTTTCACACAGATGTATGTCACACTCACAATATGAAGAACAAATCTGTGCCTACTTCGGTTTCATCACGACTTTAATGTACACTTTAAAGTCGTAATGTACACTTTAAAGTCGTAAATGTAAAATTTTGCTCATTACAGAACACAACAGCAAAGCTATTAAAATGGAAATTGTCTGAAACCAATCCAAATTGATTGCATTGGTATACAAACACTGGTGGAGCTATGACGTAGTGGTTTGTGCACATAGGTTATGATTCAAGTGCATCCATCCACTCTCCTCCATCCTCCTCTCTCCCAGCCTCTCCAACATACATGTCAATTTCTTGGAAGAGATCTCTGCTGGATCATGATGCAGCACTTCTTAAATCCTGTTGGGAAAAGAGATTTGAACTTCTTTGTGCACTGGGACAGATTTGTATACATTACTAATCGTCCAACTGAGGTCAAGTTTGCTCATGGAAGGAAGGGACACATGATGAATTACACATGGTTGACCCATTCAATAAGAGCCACACAAATCAGTTCTTTCTCAGCAGGGGTCACATAATGGCGAGCCCACTGAAGCGTGTTTGACGTGTCGGAGTGAATCATTAATCAGCTTGATTGATACATTTATCAGTTGAGGAGTGTCAGATTGCAAGGAAATTATGATATACTTTTTAATGATTCGAAATGTATTATGTGGCTGTGATTTGTATATTTGCATGTTCACCCACAGGTAAGAGATGTTGCTGCATCATCACTATTAAAATAACAAGGCCTCTCTCTCCTTCTCACAGACACACACACGCTATTAAATGTCTTATATTATATACAAAATTTTATAGGCCTCATGAATGGCTAGCAACATTTAATTTTATTTGAAATAAATAAATATCTATCTATCTATCTATCTATCTATCTATCTATCTATCTATCTATCTATCGATCTATCGATCTATCGATCTATCGATCGATCGATCGATCGATCGATCGATCTATCGATCTATCGATCTATCGATCTATCTATCTATCTATCTATCTATCTATCTATCTATCTATCTATCTATCTATCTATCTATCTATCTAGATCTATTTTATAATATATATATATATATATATATATATATATATATCTGTACTTCTGTAAGATTTCTGGTTTGCAGCATGTTTTTGTACCTGATTCGTCACCACTCTCCAATAGGTATTTAGCCTGAGGACGAGAGCAGTTATTTCATATTTCCACCAGACAGCTACAAGAGAAAAAACAGCATTCATTATGCTTATATTTGGCGGCTATTACATGAGGCATTTTTGATGGATCACTTAAACCCCCTGCTGTCATAGTTCAATTCCTGGGAGCTGATTAAATGGGGATGCGTTGGCCAGGATGTTCCTACCGGGGATTAGGGGGCTCTGAGCGAGTGTTATTTAATTGTGGGGAAGTGGAAACACTCGAGTGAGGAAGGGTTAGTGAGGCGGGAAGGAGGACCGTTCCTGACAAATGACAGCGCGCCGCGGGGCGCTTGCAGCCCGGCCCTGTGTGGACACGCTAATAAAGCAATTACACTGAGACAATGTTTGCACACTGCGTTGACATGTCTGTCCCTCACCTGCTGTGCCGCTACAAGGGGGCATCTTATGCTTTTTGTGCCCACACACTAAAAGTTATATAATTATATTGTATTTGAATAGGTCTACAAGTTACCGTACTATACAAATTTCGGTTGTTTTTGTTTTTACTTTAGTCATTCTTTCTTTTCATTCTAACCAATCAAATTTGGCGAACATTTATGCAGTGTAGGCCTACGCTCTTCATATTTTACTGTCCGATGTGGCAATATAATCTAGAGAAGCGCACACTCATGTATTACAATGTCGAATTAGCTTCTTAATGCACCTCATTTAATGATGCAATCTGTCTTCTGATTACCGTTCATGTGTAATTTAGAATTCATAACGTGGCCTTCAGCGACAAAGCCCTCTAATCAATCTCTGATGGATTTGTTCTTTGTTTCGTTTAGCTTATCGGATGACCCCTCCCTCAGTACGCTGGAGGCCCTGAAAACACGGATCAGAGATCTAGAGAAGCAGTTCACACGGGGGGACAGATTCAAGTGTCTCATCTGCATGGTAAGTTTGAGCTTGCTGTTTACATATTTATTTAAAAAGGAATAAAAACATAGTAATAACTAATTGCAGATAAATGTTAATTATATTTATACTTTATACTAATTATTTAAACCCTACAGTTCATAAGTTGGTGGTTGTTAAAGGAGTAGTTCACTTTTAAAAAAACTTTTGCTGATCATTTACTCACCCCATGTCATCCAAGATGTCCATGTCTTTCTTTCTTCAATTGAAAAGAAATTAAGGTTTTTGATGAAAACATTCCAGGATTTTTCTCCATATAATGGACTTCAATGGGAACCAAACGGTTCAATGTCCAAATGAGAGTTTCAGTGCAGCTTTAAACGACACCAGACAATGAATAAGGGTCTTATCTAGCGAAACAATCGCTCATTTAAAAAACAAGTTTTATAAGCACAAATGCTCGCCTTGCTCCGTTATGTGATGCGTGTTCGTGAATCTCCTCTTCGAACTCGTTCATCAAAATGAACAATTTTATTTTGAGTCTTGACTCGAAGGGTCCTAGATAAGACCCTTATTCGTCACCTGGTGTCGTTTAAAGCCCTTTGAAGCTGCACTGAAACTCTCATTTGGACCTTGAACCATTTGGTTCCCATTGAAGTCCATTATATGGAGAAAATCCTGGAATGTTTTCATCAAAAACCTTTATTTCTTTTCGACTGAAGAAAGAAAAACGTGGACATCTCGGATGACATGGGGTGAGTAAATGATCAGCAAAAGATCAATGTATAATTAAATGTATATAATAACATATCATATAATAACATATTGAGATTAAGCTGATGTAAGTTACATTTCTCTTATTTATGTACATTTATTGTGTAAATATATATTTTTCTCTATTTTATTCAGGACTCCTACACTGTACCTCTGACCTCCATCCAGTGCTGGCATGTCCACTGTGAGGAATGCTGGCTTCGCACCCTGGTGAGATACACAACAGTATCATACTGTACTTACAAAAGATACACATACTGTACAAAAGATTTTCAGCACAACCACATGACTTGAACAAGCGAAACCTGTGTGTCCGTGTCAGTTGTTTTTGATTGTTAAATGATTTTCTTTGGACCCTCTTTCTCACAGGGAGCAAAGAAACTTTGTCCACAGTGCAACACTATCACCTCACCCGGGGACCTGAGACGAGTGTATTTATGAAGAGTTATAGCTGTCCTGTCATCTGCCTGTTTGCACTCTACTCAAACGGATCACTTTTACCGAGAAGAACCTTTCTGGGCCCATGCAAATCTTAAGAGTATGTCTTGCCCAAAAGAATCATTACAAACGTTGCTGTCGGAATGCAGCCTGTGCTCAATTCTCGAAGAAGTGTAAATCTCTACAAATATTGTGCTGCAACAATATTGTAAGGACAGTAAAACTGATCACAAAAAGTTGTTTTATGTACAAAACCTTGTTTTATAAAATATTGTTAAGTTATTCTCATAGAGCGATCTGTCCTATAGTTTTGTGAATGTTTACACTGAAGAACTCTTTTCTAATTTGGATCTAGCAGTGTTGATATATTCAAAATGGTAAACCGTTAACATTTGCATCATTCATAAACTGTGTTTTGTGTAGAATGTGCAAAGGAGCAATGAATCTTGTACATTTATTATCCATAGTTATGTAACTGTAATTTAATAGTGAACGGGATCATTTAAATATGGTTTAAGATAAATTATCATTTTTGCTGATACACGTGATATGGTATAATAGTTTATTTCATGCATTTAAAAAAACATTATTGTGCAAAATCTCAAAGACAAGACACTGAACATGATGCAAAATTATAAAGCCATGGATAAATAAAAATAATTTTTACTACAAGGTTCGGCAACAGATATTCTGTGTTAAGTTAGTTCCCTGTATATTTTCAAAATTCTTCAACTTTTATCTAAGACGCTGTGTAGATGTAATTGTCTACATTCTTGTAATGAACTACTACACTGATATTTGTATTGATATATATCGTACTGTATGTACAGCAGAGTTGCATCAAGGAGCTTCCCTGTGTTTAATTGATTCCTAATGCAGTATATGGATGTTGAGGTTGATCTCTGCTTATCCTTCACTCCTCCCAAATGCAAAGCAGAATAAAAGTCTCCTGACACGGAGTCACTATAGGCTATGACATTAGGACTTAAGGAATTCAGAACTAACAGAAAAAGAGTTTCCTTTGTGGTATTTTAGCAATAGTTTTGTTACTAGACTCTAGTCAAGATACAACAGGTAACTGAAAGATTGTAAAGCACTTTTTTGATAGAACTGAAATAGAATGAAACGCAAAACCAGCTTTGTTTTACGATTATGTATTTTGTACAGACTCATCTGTTTTTCTTTGACAAAAAAGAACACAATAAACTAAAGTTATTGTCTAACAAATGTCATTGCTGTGCCCTATTATGGTTTTCAGACTGGATCACATGAGTCAGCACTATCACTAGAGTAGACCTAATGACAGGATTTGGCTGATGCTTATTTTGGCAGCTTTTTATTCAAAGCTATAGTAGGCGACTCACATTGCATGATTATGCATTTTAATATCAACGCCATTGTGGCATTGCCTGCACTGTTAGAGGAACTATAGCAGGTGGGTAACCTCAGCATTTCCTCTTGCCTGCCCTTCAGTCTATTTATCGCATCACAAGTAGGCCTATCTTACCACCTGGCCAGTTCGTTATAGGCATTCTTAAAGATGCCTTTAATGACTGACCCCATAAAAGGATGTCTGTGGCTGATGTCCTGACATATCTCTAATTAGCAGCAGTATACGGACACTTGTCTGTGTGGATTTAGGTTAGTATTGGATTACCCCAGTCATGTGTCTAATGCAAAGGAAGTTACTGCTGCAACACTTACATTTTACCTCAAAACTCACTAATGTGACAAAAAACGCACAAAAAAAGTCCTCAAGTTGTGGGATGTTTATAAATAGGTACTTCCGGCCCAAGCGACCCTAATGATTTTCGGACGTTTTTCAAGCGATATCTTTGCAGAAAAAACATACTAATGTGCAGCCATCAGCGAGGAGATTTATGGAGAAACATGCATGACTGTCAACTGTGTGGAAAGCCTTAATCTATTTCTTAAATAATATTTGTATTTGTCTGCATTGTGTTATATTATGGATAGTTTAATATCAATATTTATATAATATTAATAATGATTTAAAATTGCATTTTGTGTTTTTTAGTTTGATAAAATTTTATTTTTATTGTCTCGAAAATATGAGCACACTAAATATTTGTCAGGCTGTGTGTTAGCTAATATATTAGGCACATAGGATTTGACAAAAAGCTTTTGAACATTTTCACCATTATTGCTCAGGAAAAACAAGTGATGATTAATAAACTATTAAAGTCTTTTCAAAGTTTAGTATGATTTGTAAGGATCCCGCTATCATTGTCATAACAACAGAAACACAAGATCTGCGATTTGATTGGCTGAGAGTCAACGGAGGAGGTGGTAATTGTAGCTGGCAGTAAGCTGTGGCTTTTTTAGTCAGGTAGAAACACTCACTTGCATCGTCACTTCACCTTCTAACTTGCACAGACCAGGTAAGAACAGTGTTTTCTTCTTCTGGTGTTCAAAAATTAGAGGTCAAAATTTACAGGAAAATTTGCATGAACTATGTTTAATCTGAAAAGAAATAGCCAGACACACACATGTAATGTAATTTTTATTTTATTTGTAAATGTATTTTATTTGCTATTCTTTTACGTAGTTATTTGTTTTATTATTTAGTTTGCAAAAAATAAAAGCATATTCATTTGTATTCATAGAGTAGTCAAAATATGACATCAAATCTCAAGGAGGTCCATAACAGGGATTTTTGAATGAATAAACAGAAAGCAGTCAACATGAGAACCGATAGGAGACGACTGTATGTTTATTTTAGCGTTTTCCCAGATCAGATTGTGTGTCCAGTTTGTTTGTTTAGCCTCCTACAGAGTCCCTTAAAAATGGACTGGACATGATTTCAGACATTGTAGAAACATTGAGGCAGGCATCAGGTCACTGGGCCTTTGTCATTTGGCTTATGCTGGGTAATCCTCTTCATTGGCCTAACCTGACACATTAAGACATTTTCATGGTAGCCTACTTGACGTTAACATGTAAATCCTTTGCTATCATGTAAATCAAAATGCTTTGCAAAATTGCATTAAATTCACATTATTTTTTAAAATATAGGTTTTGAGCTGCCCAGAACATCAACAAATTTGACATTTTTAGAGTTACGATAAAAATGTACATGCTTCCATTCTGTTTTATAAACTATGCAAAATAATTAAAAAAAAAAATAAAAATAATAATAAAAAAGATACAATAATTTTTCTTCGAAAATTGGGAAATTATCTTGTTCCTTTTTACTTCATCTGTCTTGCTCTCCATTACAAGGCCCAGTCCACAGACCTTAAAACAGAATCACTAATCACCCGGATCAGTGGATTAGTTCCTGAGCTTCTCTGTTGGAGAGGCGCAACCGTGCAATAGGCTCAGTGTCCGTCCATGTCAGCTTCTCTAGCTTATAGCATTCTCTCTCTCTCTCTCTCTCTCTCTAGTGGGCACCAAGAAAAAAGCTTCCTGCTTGACCTAATCCATGTTCAATATGGAAGGTTTTTTCGTTTTGTTTTGGTTGTGATTTAATAATAAAGATTTTTATAAGTATACTCTTAAGTACATCTTTTAATCTTTTATAGCTCTAAATGTCAGATTGTAGCATGCGACAGTATATCTCTAAAAATATACTTGTATTGAATTTTGATGATTTTATAGTCACATGTACAGCACAAAATCCTCTTTGCAAGTGAACCCATATTTAATGTATTCTATTTTACATTTTCAAATGTAAAAATGTACTAGGTTTTTGGCGATGAAGACATGTCACGCAACCTGTCCATGTTGGTGTCTATCTAATTCTGCGGCTTGGTATTTGTGACAGATGGAATGCTGACAAAATACAGTAGAGTTCGCCAAACTATTGTATAGAGTCTGATTGGACGAATGGCTTTTGATCTCAAAATATATGGGAAGCATTTTACCTCAGTTGCATATTTCATATTTCTTGGAGAGATTTTTTTTTTTTTAGATTTACATTTTTTTTTAAATGTGTATAAAACATTTAAAAGTTTTTCCATAACCCTAGAACAGACTTCCGACTTGAATTTTGTGTATTTATTGACCAAAAACCAAGTCAGTGAAAGTTCATCATACGGTAAGTGGCTTAAAACACACGTCACAGATGCATCTGTTTTGATTGTCTCGCAGAGAAATGTCAGGACCCAGGCCTGTAGTTCTGAGCGGTCCATCAGGAGCTGGGAAAAGCACCCTGTTGAAGAGACTCATGAAGGAATATGAAGGGGTTTTTGGATTCAGTGTCTCTCGTATGTATCAGCATTACAGACAGATTATAGACAAGAATTGTGATTGAATGGTTTTTACAGGATAACTTGACCTCCCTTTTTTCTGCAGACACCACCAGAAATCCTCGGCCAGGAGAGGAAGATGGAAAAGGTAGGGCATGATTTCCACTTCACAACCTTACCAAAGGCTCGCTTTAGCAGTGAAACAAAAATCCCCCCTAAATTCACATTCATTTCGAAAGGTCCTTTACCCAAAACTGTCTTACTCACACTCCTTTGCTGCTTCTTACTCCCAAGTGAACTGTTTACATTCAACTCCAAACATATCGCCACATTTCACATGGGTTGAAATTCCTCTTTTTATTCCCCAATGTGCCTTTGTTGTTTTCTCTAGGGCTGACTTGTCTCCCAATGCTTCTGGGGGCTACATTACTTCCTGTAGCAGACATCCTATCGTCTGTGACATCTGAAGGTGTAGATTTGTTTTGCATTATTGGTCGTAATTAGTCATCACTGATTATTCACATATTTAATGTGATGAGAGATTAATGGGGGTTACTTTCATCTTTTTCAAATCTAAAACTTTGGAAGTCAATTATATTTTAGGCCAAAATGACAGCTATGATTGTTAACATCACATGAATGCCAGTGTGCACTTTGGAGTAAAAAGCCTTTGAAAATAGCCCCCTGTGTTCCCTATAGTGGTTTTCCATGTATTGTGAACTATGACATCACTTCCCCACATACCCAGAGACGAATCATTAGCATCACAACCACAGGACTTTAAAATTCATTTTTGGGACAGTCGAACAAGTCTGATTGGTAACCTGGGAAAAATATATATACAAAGAAATAATCTACAGCCATTTTAAATCTTGCACTTGGGCAAACTCTGCTTGTTTATTTTAATGCAGAGAACCCCAGCTATGAGTGAAAATTTTAAGAAATTTTTGGCTAATTTTCTGGCAGGTTTCTCTCAAGTTATGGACCAAAAGTGTTCCAGTAAGGTTAATTGAATATCTGTTCAAAGTTATCTGGTCTTTTATAATGTTAACACAAAAACATTATTTATTCATCGTTAATGGAAAAAAGTGATAATTCTGAAACATTTTATTTTTTTTTATGTTTCTACTTGTTTCAGAATGTACAAAAATTAAAAAGAAACATTTAGGCCTAAGTTTAATTAACTTTTTTATTACTTAATAATATAACATTGCTAAAGCGTTCTTAGTAGGCCCTACTTATTTTTGTTAGCTGGGTCAAAGGCTAGACTAAAAAATAACAGTTGAAATAAATATATACTTAATTAAAATATATATTATTTGAAACTTTCAGGTTAGAACGGAGATATAAGATAAGATTTTTATGCAACTAACCAACCATTGCTGTTTTTATTTTTTTGTCATTCTTATGATGTTTTTTTCACAGACAAATGTTGTTATGCTAATGGACATTGCGGTGCTGCCATGGATTATGTCAGTGTTTTGCCCTCCTGTAGCTGTGAATTATTTGTCTTGTGTTGTTGTTGTCTGCAGAATCATTACCGCCCCGCTTTAGATCCTGTCTGATGTGCTGTAGTGGAGTTAAACCACCAGAATGGTACGAATCCAGCAAAATGCAGCACTAGAGCTTTCTTACAGGCTACATGTGAAGGATTTTATGTGTGTGATTTTGTTTTGTGGTTATAAATTAGAAGGGAAACCAACCAATAATTGTATTTTAGAAGTTTTATGGTATCACTTCAGAATTATGGTCCGTCATTAATAAGTAACTCTGCAGGAAGTAATACAGGAATAATGAGTAGCCTACAAACTGCATTAATACTTCAGCTTCTACTATTAACTAATATGGAAACAACCTTAACTCATCATTAAGTAGGCTAATATTGATAGGAGATAGTTCCATTAGGCATCATGAAGAGCGAAGAGGTAACTATGTAACTAGGTAACTGACAAAATAATAAAGAATTACTAATGAATTA